GTCCTGTCTTACTTTGCTAGTACACCCCAGAAAATACTTTCGCGAAGCTTGCAGATAATAGCCAAGTGGTGATTTTGGAAAGCTTTTGTGATTAATACTACGAACTCGCCAAGGTGATAGGATTGCCACTTTTGCATACTATGGGTATGAGCTATTGTTGCTGGTTTGGCGCGGGAGACGGGTGCCTTGGACTAGGCAGACTTAACATGCATTTCCAGCGAATTGGCAAAATAGCCGATTCGTAGCAACAATAGCCGTCGTTGTTCCCAAAACGTTTCTCCTTCATATAGCGGGGCAACTCGAAACGCCTTACCAACCGAACAAAGGTATTTTTGTTATCGACCCAATGGGGGCATTTGTCATCAACGCGAGGGAGGATTTGTTATCAACGCAAGGGGCCGACCAGATAGGGATAGTGCAATCCTTCGACTACACACACAACAGGGATAGTATAACAGCTGTGCAGGGTGCCTGCCATCTATCCGGTGCTCCATTTACTCGTCCGTTGCTTTTACAACCTCGTGCACGCTTAACTTAGGGGTGGGTCGATCCCCGCCTTCCCGCCTCGCTTGAGGGTAAGAGGTATTTAAGTCTGTTTCCTTGTCTGTTCTGATAGCCCTTAGCTAGTGGCAAGAGCAATCCCCTACACCTTTTCATTCACCACTCTCTCGTGTTCAGAGTCATTCCATAATCAGCAACTATGTCCAAAATCGCTCTCATCACCGGCAGCACTCGCACTCCCCGTGTGGGAACCGATGTTGCAGAATGGGTTCATGAGGTGATCAAGTCACGCCCGGAAGACAAGCTAGAGGTTCAACCTCTGTCCATCGCCGACTTCAACCTGCCAATCTTTGACGAGCCCGTCATGCCTGCCATGGTCCCAGCCATGAAGCAGTTCACCAAGGATCACTCCAAGAAATGGAGTGAGGCCATCGCGTCCTTCCAGGGCTACATCTTCGTCATTCCCGAGTACAACGGTAGCATGTCGGGGGCCACCAAGAACGCCATCGACTACCTGTACAACGAGTGGCCCGGGAAGCCTGTGGCCGTCATCAGCTACGGCTCGCATGGCGGAGAGCGCGCCAACAAGCATCTCAGTGAGAGCCTGGAGCTGGTCATGAAGATGAAAGTCGCCCCGACCAAAGTCCAGCTCGCGTTCGCCCCAGGTACTGACGTGTTCGCCGCCGTCAACGAAGGCGTTTTGGGTGAGGACACCAAGAAAGCGTGGAATGAGGCTGGAGCCAAGGATCAGATCCTCAAGGCTTTCGGGGAGGTGAAGGAGATTCTAGAGCAGTAGGAACCGGACGGAGCAGTCTAAACCCAACAAAAAACCTACCTAGATATGCTAGGTTCGCCCTCACCAACGGAAAATCAAGTTCCATGTATTGAACACAGCTTGATTCTTGTATGGTAAAAAGTTAACCTAAGTAAAATATTAGTCCATCAAAATACATAATTGAAGATGATGCCGTCACTTGATCCCTATCCTCAAATCTCACCGGTATCTCCATTACAAATCCTTGTCGTAATGGTCGGTCGCTGTGTCCATCGTGAGCCTTCATGAAACTGCAACGACGGGTCCTGAACAGACGGACCAATGCAGCCACTTCCCCGATTTCGGCGAGCTTCTTCCATGAACACTTGCAGCCGTTCGCTTGAAGCGAACAGGAGGGTGTTGATGGACTATAGAAAGTAAGACGATGAAGCCCTCTGAAGGAAAAAGACCAATGATCAGATCGGACTGACAGGAGCCTACAAGCTCTGTCAGCGGCAGCCATCTTGTCTGGGTTTCTCGTGGCTGATGTGAGCCCTCTGACTGCATAAGATATGATGATTATCAATCCCCCCTCTTCTTCTGGACGCTGGCTTACTATTAGTGCGTTTTGACGCCCCGAGAGTCGGGGTTGGGGGTTGCACAGCATACAGACCCCACAAGCGGCCGCGGAGAAAGAATGTCGTGAATTCCTTGCATCAATGTTCAAGTACCTGACATTCTACTGTGCTTTCATACTATCTGTGCGCCAGTACTGATGACTGTCTCCGACCTTTCATCATTGAACTCTTTAGTGAGGCGAAGTCTTTCGAGCCAACACTGCTTCTCTCCATGCCCAACCCAAGACCAATGCAGTGCCAGGTCCGAACATCACAAGAATAGCGCCGAGTGCCCCTATAACCTTGAACCAACCTGCCATGAGTCGTCCAGTACTTTTCAAGTCCCATAAATGGAGAAGGGCCCAGAACAGCCCGCTCCCTAGTATCAGTACATGATGACGATTGATAAGTTTGTCTGGCCCGATCTCCTGCAGAAGCAAGGGTCCTTGCCGTAGCCGAGCTAGGATGGACAGAATGTTGCTCAGGCCCCACGGTGACAACGCTGAGGAATAGATATGCGTTATGCCACTGACAATGCCACTAATGGCATAAGATACAAGTAGATACTTCATATCAGCACGAGGATTTTGAACTCGGTCGTTGAAGGTAGTGGTGGTGAGAAATGAGGCGAACAGAGGGTGGAGGACAGCCGCGCAGGTAGGTAGTAAATACCAATGGGCATACAAAGCATAGTTCTGCTGACATGCCATGCCATAGGCTACGAGGAGAAAGTGGCCCATTACAGTTGCTGCAACAGCGGATCTGGCGTAATGTGTGGGCACGAGGCGGTTGTCAGCAGCGGCGTACCGACTCGGCGGGGATAAGATATACTGGAGGAAGAAGTACACTGGAAAAGCGTATCTTGTGCTTTCCCAGTACCCTGAAAGTCCAAACAGGGGCCATAAAGCGGCAATTCCCATGCTATTGCCTCGCCGGGCACTTTCTACCAGGGCGATGACTTGGAGCGGGAAGAAGTCGCCCAGATACGGCAGCGTAGATAGTTGTACTGTTTTGTTGTCTTGATTCGTAGATAGGGCAGATCCTGTAGGTTCCAAAGTTGGGAGAGCGGCAAGACAGAAAGCCAGGAGTGGGATAGCACCAAGGATTCGCCATGAAACATGAGGCGCTCTTCGGTCAAACTCTACTGCCTGGAAGATGGTGTCCTGTCTTAGCGACAGCTCCGGCGGCGGGAGGAAATCTAACATGTGTGCTCCCGCGACCGACTGGCAATGAACATCTACGAGCATGTCGCCTGCCCGTGGCACAACATACAACGCCATTAGTTTGTGCCAGAACTTGTCGAATGCTTCCAGACGAGTGGCGAAGCCGGCCATTGCGCACACTTCCTTGGTACGGACCTGCCGGCTCTGCTCGTAGTCGCTCAGTGTGTCGCAGATCTGCCCGAACGATGGTGTTCTTGTTGTGCTCATCATTGAGTGCAGCCTGTTGGTCAGAGCGGCGGCGCTCTCTATAGCCCAATTACCACCCTGGCCACTATTTGCCTCTTGTGTCAACAATTATGTTTTGTAGGTGGAAGGGGAGGATTTAGGGTGTCTCACATGTTTGGTGTCATCTTGTGTATGGAATCTCCCAGGCAGACAAAGCGCCCATATGTCCAATGTCTATATTGGGCCTCCTCCAATGCCGCCAAAGTGGCTGCTGTCTTTCGATGCCAGAGAGCTTCAAAGGTCACATCCTGGGAGACATGGCGGTTCATAAATGGCTTCACAAACTTGGCCTGATCAGATTCTGTGTATCTCGGCAGATTCGGCAATTTGTGTGTTCTACTTAGCTTCTCAAATACAAACCAGAAGCAGCACTCGTCTTTCCCGACAACTACCAGAAAGGACCAGTCCTTGTTGAAAGTACGGTAAATGCTCGTTTTCTGCAAGCCTGGCACAGGGGAAGACATGCCATAAAGACACCTGTAGTCGGCGAACATGGCTATAGACCTGTTAGTGGCGGATGTCTCCCTCTTATTGCGTATACGATATCGGTGTCTTACCTTTTTCATCATCATTTAGGTGTTTGAGGGCGCCATCGCTTTTGGCATGACGCCACATCTCACGGCGGATTCGACTGTACACACCGTCGGCTCCAGCCACTATATCTCCAGTGAAAATGGAACCATCTGCACAATGTACCTCAACACCATCCGGTAGGGTGCGAACAGAGACGACCTTTTTGCCAGTGAGAATCTTGCTCTGGTCCGGAGCGAGTTGATGGAGCTTCTGGAGGACCTGCCGCCGCTCAAGAAATGTCACCGGATAGCCCGTACTATGATGTATCTCAGCTTAGCGATCATTACATGGTGTTTGCACAGCTCCCATGACGTACCGTGCCTCGATCAATTGCAGGGAATCATCACGCCGTACTAGATCTCCTTGCCCGGTGAGCATGTCGTAGCATTTCAGAGGTTCCGTACACTCCAGGATGCTTTCGAAAACGCCAAGCTGATCAAGGATCCGGGAGCCGTTTGAGAAAAGGCCGATGGAAGCGCCAACCTGTGGGTCGATGTGGTCGCGACCTTCAAGAACGACGTAGTCGATCCCGGCCTTGTGCAAGCTATGGGCAAGAACCAGGCCTGCAACCGACCCTCCAACTATGACTACTTTAAAGTCATGACTTTTTTCGAAGTCACCCATGATCTGTTGGTTTGCGTATTCGACTGGCGGGTAGGTAGTTGAGTAAACACCGTGACCCACTTCTTTATGAGGATAGTAGTATACCTGGTAAGAACCCCAACTATATATTCTAGGACCTTTCAGATGTACACCTTGTAAAAAAAAACCAATGGTAAAATCGCACTGACACCCGGAAAAGCCAAGGCATCATCATCGCATGCTCAGGTGATGTGTGTTGATAGTCTTGTCCACTTTTGCTGATGAGGAGTGTCTGGGGCAGTTATAGGCGAGTTAGGTCTACTCGTTAACTCGACACGACACTGGTTGCGTGTTGGCAACCTATTCACAACATGGATCATTGCACTTTTTGCACAGAAGAGACGGAGTAACTCCATGAATATATCTGATCATTCTCCGGCCTTACATGCGGCCGACTCCAGTCAATATCATTGCGTGTTTGCGAGGGCAACAGTCTAATTATCTCCTTGTGCTGCGATAACAGCCATGTCTACTGCAAAGCCAATCTGTCGGGTCCCTATGAACATAGTTGTTGTCGGGTACGAACAGCGCTTGAGCGCACTTTTTGCTTTTCTAACATAACGGACCGACTAACAAAGTCCAATACAGAGCAGGTGAGCGGACTCGACCTTTGGTCAGTGAAGTAACGAGATCGACATCTAAATATTTGGATCAAAGGCATCGGAGGGCTCTCGGCGGCCGTCGCACTTGGGAACCGCGGGCATTCCGTGCTGATTCTTGAGTCCACCTCTGAGGTAGGCGGTTGTTGTTTTTGCTGAAGTACTTACCCTGGCTGTTTGGCGCGCTGACCGAAGCACAGCTATCTCATGTTGGTGCGGGAGTGGCATTGCCACCAACTACGCGGCAATGGTATGAATGTAGGTAGACTGCTCCGTGTTGCTAAACTCAAGCCTGCCTCAAAGACTGATGACGCTGTCAAATAGCTGAAGGGGTGCTTCAGGCGAATGACACTGCATGTGTCCCCCTGGACGGCATCGAGATCACCAAGTGGGACACTGGGGAATTGATCACTCAAACCGCGGCGAACCCGGTAGGGAAGCAGAACGCTGTACACCATGGGGACATGCAATTGGCACTTCTTGCGCGTGCTCGGGAGCTCAAAAATGTTGAGATTCGACTAGGAGCGAGGGTTGTGGATGTTGATATCGAAGCCATCGTCGCTCTTCTCTCCGATGGGCAACGCGTGGCGGCTGACTTGATCATCGCAGCAGACGGTGTGAAATCCACCTTGAAGGCCAAGGTTTGTCCACCTGAAGCAGTTGTACCGCTGCCCACAGGCGAGGCCGCGTATAGATTCACCCTCTCTCGGGACTTGCTGGAATCCGACCCAAGGTTGCGGGAGCTAGTCCAACGGCCGTGGGCCACGCGATGGGACGGACCTTCCCGCCACGTGGTCGCCTACCCAGTGCATAACCACCACTTGCTCAATGTCGTTCTCATCCATCCAGACAACGGAGACGCAGAGGAATCATGGACGTCGGTGACGGACAAGCAGAACGTGCTGGCGGACTACCAGGGATGGGATCCAACGCTTCTCAAATTGATTGCGCTTGCTCCACCCCATGTGCCCAACTTCCGGATGTTCATATATCCCCCAGCGCCCGTTTGGGTCAAAGGCTCGACCATTCTTCTCGGGGATGCGTGTCATGCAATGCTGTCAGTTTCGTCCCACACCTCTACCTGTACTTAGTTTTGACTGTAACTAACTTGTGACCCCCAACTAGTCCGTATCTTGGCCAGGGAGTTGCTCAGGCGGTCGAGGATGCGACTGCCATTGCCACAGTGCTATCGTTGATCGAGAACCGACAACAGCTTCCTTTAGCACTACGGGCATACGAGTCGTCTCGCAAGGAGAGGGTTGATCAGATCCAAGCGGCTACGTACCGTGCAAGGGAGCAGCTACACCTCCGAGATGGTGACGCACAGGCGGCCAGAGACTCGGAAAGAAAAGCTGCTTCGAATACGGGTCAAAATAGCGATGTGGTCAAGATGCAACATTCTTACTGGACGTGGGATGCTGCTGGGATGGCCGAAAAGACACTGGCTGCTTTGATTGTTGCCTAGTTAGGTAGTATCTGCAGTATCGTCAATATCATCTGTGACTTGACCTCTGTGCCTGCTGATTGGGTTGGAAGTTTTTTCTTTTTTATTTCTCGCATGATGATGAGATACAGCAACAAAGATAGCATGAACAATATACTTTCAGGCTTCCCACATAACTTCAAGTGTCATCAATATCATGACTGGTACCTATTCTCCTCACAGCTTCCCGTCTCCAAATCTGTTCACGTATTCAGCCAAAGCTCGGATTGGCCAGTAAAGCTTGTAGTTGGAATAGGAGATTACCCTGTAGAGCATGTTAGTCGTCCGACCTCGGCAAAGAGAGCAGGGGTAAGAATCAAGTACTCACCCATCTCCGACACCACCCTCGAGTGCCTCTTGGTACCATTGCCCTTTGGATTGCTGCCGAGACATGATCAATCTGAGTCCACGTTTTATAGGCTCCATGTCAGGGTATGCGGCGTGCATCAGCGCCATGCAGACCCAGGCCGTCTGCACCACCTGGGACTCTTGATGCTGAACGTACTCTTCACGCTGCAAGCTCAGGTAAGACTCTCCCCAGCCCCCATCAGCCTTTTGCTTGTCGACGAGGAAGTCGCATCCGCGACGCGACGCCTCACCGGTCGCGTACGTCTCTCCCGCGAGGGCTAGGGTTTCGAGCGCAAACATTCCCGCATAGGTGAAAGAGACGCCCCAGGCACCATACCAGCCACCGTCGGACTTTTGCGATTTTTTGATAAAGGACAGCCCCTGCGCCGTCGTCGTCTCGATATCAGCGGCACGGTAGCCGGGATACACCTTGCTAAAAGCCAAAAGAGCGGATACTGCGGCCGTGGTGCACTCGACAAAGTCGTATGTGACCATGGTCTTGCCCACAAACTCGCCCATCTCCAGCCACGCGAGCTTGGGCGAACCTGTTCGCTTCTCGTAGACTCCGAAGCCACCTGTGTCGTTCTGCAAGTTGAGCAGACAGTCGACGGCGTCGCGTAGCCTTTGCTCGGGTATCGGCTGGGCTAGATCCAAGTGGCTCATCTCTTGAAGCTGCATGACGGAGCGGAGGCCCTCGCCGGTGCACTCGCTGATCATGTAGCCCTGGTATCTGGTGCTGAACGGCCACCCGCCCTTGCGAGGCCATCGGTAGCACTTTTCCTGGTCCGGTACATTTTCCAGCAACTGGTGGTCCTCCAGGAAGGCATGGGCCCTGACGAGTGTCGAGTGGAACTTGGGATCAGCGCCCGCACCCGCCGCGCCGAGGGCCTGCACTGCTAACGACGTGTCCCAGACCTGGATGCCGTCCGAGAGGTTGCAGGCCATGCCGTCCTTGGTCATCCAAAAGTACTGCGTCATGGTTTGCCGATGGGCGCGGACTGAGCTCCCGTGAGGCCCCTCCTCGATGTAGCTGGCGACGAGGTTCCCGGCCTTGCTGATGGGTGAGAGCCCAATGTACTCGGTGTTTTTGTCTTCGGCCACGATGAGGTCCCAGACTTTGCGCTCACCACTGTATGCTGTGGTGGGCTTGCGCATGTACGGCAGGTATACGGCAACGGTCAGCCAGTTCATGAGGTTCACGAGCCACCATTTTGGATAGTTGTTGTCCACGGCGGCGAGGGAGCTGCGGTGGGCCGCGAAGTTGATTGTGTTGTACGGCCGCGTGTAGAGCTCGGCTTTGAGCTGCTCGGTGACGGCATCCCCGCCATAACTCCACTGCTTCGACCATACGTACGACATGGAGGTGAAGTTGGTCCGCGTATGGAGATACCATTTGCTCGGCGCGGCGGGATCCGAGTCGGACGAGAGCCTGACATGCCAACGCTGATTAGCCTAGGGGTTGCATGTCTTGTGGTGCTACAGTATGCATTGCATCCATTCACAAGGACTCGAGTATGGACCCGCGCAGAACAGGACGTGACTTACCACAACTCGGGTAGGAATGGATTGACGCATTCCCACTTCATGACCCCTAGGACGCAGAGCCAGAATTTGCCGATGCCCGGAACGTGTGTAGCTCCACCAAACGTGTGCAGCAGCTCCCGTGCCCTGACTAGGCGCGGGTCGTCTCTGCTCGCCCCCAGCAATCGCAGGACGACGTAGTTGAGGGCTGTGGCAATGGCTGAACTACTGTCAGCCTCAGCATGCCACCCCCAGCCTCCGTCGGCGACACGCTGGCTCGCAAATAGGTACCGCTGGATCTCGACAGCATACCCGGCGGGAAGGGGAGTGCCCGTCACATACCCGGCCAGGATTACACAGGGCAGGATGAAGTGGGGTCCAGTGCACTCGCTCGCCCACTGTCCCGAAGCCATCTGCAGTTGGCTCAAATACGACATGGCCCCTTGGGCAGCCTGTAACGGCGTTTGTGCCTTGGGTACGTCTGGCAAGTCCTGGAGGTTGTATCAGCCATCAGAAAGAGATACATCTAAAGCTGCGATCATGACCGTGTGGAAAAGAGAGACAGGGTTCGGTTTCTACTGACAATGTCCAAACCCAGGAAATGCTTCTCAGCCGTCGTCTGTGGCCACTTTGCCGCCTCCTCGTCAGACTCGAGGTACCGCCAGGATTGGCGGCCCTGTTCGTCAATCAACCGCCATTTTGAGTAATCAATTTTTTGGTCTTTGGCCGTGTCCAGAGACACTTTCCCATTCGTGTCCAGAGACATCTTCCCGTTGGTCGACGCTTCCCAAGATGCTTTATGTTGTCCCATTTTATTTTTCATTCAAACTATGGCACTCCGCTCAAATACAGCTGCCAACTTGCTAGTTATACGCAATAGTGATATTGATACACAGTCTTCTCAACAACCCCCAGCCACCAAAATGGTTATCGATTACCTGATTGGATGGATACATGTCATCTTCGGGTCGACCTGCCCTATGGAATAGACCAACAACGGGCACCTTTCATCTTGGCATTCCAATATTGGTAAAAGTGCCCGTGTGCTTTTGTAGAGTGGAGGCAATGGCAAGTACAACTTTCATACAAGGCCAGGAGTGATTGAGCTACAGTGTTCACCAAAACTTCTATTATGCTTTCTATCATGTAGTCTCATCCGATATACGAGATAAGGTACATTTTTACCAAAGCATTAACCAAAAACTGATGTTCCATTTTCTATGTCGTAGTTAAATTGCAAAAGATAAAGAACCAGTAAATAAAACTTTCCTAGTACTAGAGCACAAAACGCCAAATCCCACTGAACCAATAAAGTGAAAATAAGCTGAGACTCCTTGCATCAAATTCTGTGTTCTACGCCGAGCAAACCGCTTTTGTGCCACGTCCATATATTGAATTCATGGCGCGACTAGCTCTGGAGTCTGCCCATGGAATGTTTCTAGCATGCGAAACCTGGCTAGCTGACCTAATGCTACGATGGAGGCGCTCTTGGTCAACTCTAGGATGGTGATGTGCGTGGCGAAGCTTTGGATCCACCAGCTCTGCAACTCAATGGCAACGAGCGAATCGACCCCCAGATCTGCTAGACCCAGCCCAAGATCCAGGCTCGAGTTGTCGCCAAAGATCAACAATCCCTTCAAGCATTCGGCCACTTGCGCCGCCAGGAATTGCGTCACTCCCGTTTCGTCGTTCAACGAGCTCGGGTCGCGCTTCGCCCCGTCCAGAAATTGTCGCAGCTTATCGCCGCCATCCTCTCCCATACTGTCTTGTGTGGTGGCACGATTGCCTGAGCTTTGATGGCTGTCCTTCACCCTCTTCAACCCGAGACCCCGAGCATCCGGAGGATGCTGACCTATTCCAACGACAAATTGCGCCTGGTTAACGTAGCCAGAGGTCAAGTCCGTCGGGAGTAGGGGTGCTTGGGCAGACGAGGCACGGATTCCCAACTGCAAGGACCTCAGGAAGTCGTTCTCGCACAGGAGCTGGGCTCCTGCACGTCTGAGGCTCTCCAAGATGGCCGGGCGCTCGCTGACGTAACCGACGTCCCCCATCACTCCCAGGTCGATAACCGAAGCCGGCAGGCCCAGCTTCTGTCGGTACTGCACGAAGGCATCGAGGAAGGTGCTGGCTGCCGCGTAGTTCGCCTGGTTCGGATTGCCCTGGATACCGTAGATGGAGCTGGCTAGGACGAAGAACTCTAACGGCTGATCTTCTAGGGCGCGATGCAAGTTCCAAGTCCCTTGAACCTTGGCCTCAGTCGCGGCTCGCCAACTGTCAAACGTCATGTCGAGCAGTGTTTCGTCCTACGTGTGTTGCTTAGTATCAATTCCTCGCGTTGAATTCGTTTCTTCAGTATTGCAGGGGTTAGACTCACCTTGAGGACCAGGGCTAAATGCAGCACCCCGGCAATGGGCATTGCTGCATTTGCTACCAGTTTCTCCACCGCTGTCGCATCTGTCACGCTTCCAGTGGCAATCTGAGTCTCGCAGCCCAATAACTTGAGCTCCTGTACCAAAGACCGGGTCTCGGCACCAGCGGAAGCAGAGCGCGACATGAATATGATGCAGCCGGCCCCCCTTTCAGCGAGCCAGATTGCGGCAGATCTGCCCAGGCCGCCCAAGCCTCCAATCAAGACATAGGATCGGTCTTTGCGGAACTGAATCTCGTCGCTGCACGATTCAGCTACTATCATGCTCTGTGGGTCGTTGGAAAACTCTAAAGCCACAGAACCAATCTGGTCATTGTCGGTGTGGAGTTGGTGGAATGCTTGCTTGATGTTGTTTGGCGTATGAACTTTGATCGGGCTGATTGGCTTGATTGACCCGCCTGTATACAGGTCCATTATGACTTTCAGAAACCTGTCGTAGGTGATCAGCCATATGAATTCAAAAGGAGAGCGCCAAGGCCCTGTATTAGCAAAAAGAAGCCTACCTGGCAGCTAGCGATGGCTTTTGGGCAATCAGGGCGGGTATATTGATTCCGTGGAATCCACGGTTTCCCCCAAACATAATCATGTCCAATTTTCCATGCCCAGTGATGTCTCTGCCAGAGAGCTCAATCATATTGCCGCCTTCTGCTACGCATTTCCAGCTCTCGTGCAACAAATCTCCTGACAGGAGATTGACGACAACATCTACACCGCGTGCTTTTGTTGCTTGCATGATCTCTGCAACAAAAGAGCTATCGGAAGATGAAAACACATGACTTGTCGGAATGCCTTGCTCAGTTATCAGAAATTCCTTCTCGGCTTCTGTTCTAGCGGTCACAAATATCTACCGTGTTGCGATTAGTGAACAAACTAGTAGACAGAATTTGCATTGTGAATACTCACCTCTGCCCCTTGCATTCGAGCAACCTGGATGCCGGCAAGGCCCATAGGACTGGAAGCGGAATGAATAAGGACTGTGTCCCCAGGAGCTAGTGAACTGTTGTCCAATAAGCCCCTGATCATGGAAGCATACGCAGTTGGCATCGTAACCGCATCATTGAAGGATAAGCTGTCAGGCAATTTGATGCAGCACTTGGCGTTGACAAGTGCGTGGGTCGCCAGTGAGCCTGATGACCAGCAGAGCACACGATCGCCCACCTGAAGGTCAGTGCCGCTCGAGCTCGTACGGGAAACAACGCCGGCACACTCAAATCCCAGACCTTGCTTGCCATGTACAGCGCCAGAAGCGAAGAGGACATCCTGTGGGAAAAACGGTCAGTGACGAATAACCGAGTCTAGTCTTGCGACACTGTCTCAGTGCTTTGCTTACCTGATGCGTTACAGCGGAAGAGCGGATATTGATCTCCACCTCGCCTTCTCCCAAGTTAGAGTCCCGCAATCCTTCCTGCCATTGAAGGCTAGCAAGTATTCCAGGCTTTCCCATGTGAAGCTTTCGAAAGACCTGGGATTCGGGAATGGGAACGACCTGGTCGGCTGTCCGAGTCAAGAACCGTGGCACTTGTACCATACCGTTGACCAGGGCAAACTCGCAGTCCGCCACGTCTAGTTTCGACTGCCTCTGAATATGGTCGAAAACCTTTACTACCGTGCCAAAGGGGAACGGGTCGGCGCCAATGTCGAGCTCCATGGTCGCGAAGTGCGAACCCAGCTCTAGGCGAAGCGTGCGGGCAAGCCCCAACACCATGGCATGGTGTGGGTTCTCTGTTGATACCTGTGCAAGACCTGTGAGCCATAGTATCTGCTGTCCGCGGTTGTTTGTAATGAATCGGATGATTCCGCGGAGCCCTTTCTCATCCAAGTCCTCGAAGAATGCTCCAGGCCCGTCGATGTCGAGAAGCGATACGGTATCAACAGGGGAGATTGGCTGTTCCCGCAGCGAACATAGGGTGACATCGTAACCTGCTTGGCGGAGCTCCGACATAAATGCGTTGGCAATAGCTGACGGCTGGTTGGAATCTCTCACTAGGAGATTGAGAGCCTTGGAAGGTGTCGCAACGTCGTCATCTGCACTGGCAACAATGATGTTGTCAAGCTGATATGGGGACTTCTGATCCATGATCGCTGTCATATTGCCAAACCCGGCTTTTCGAAGTATAACATTCCATTGTTCGCCCTGTATATACGGCTCGTTTGGACGGCCGTCTGCTTCTCCAAGCCACCAACCAGGGAGTGTACCCTATAGTGATATGTTAGCAACCAACAGGGCCATTATCATAGAAGATTATATAAACCTACCATGATGTAATTAACCCATTTAGCCTCTGCATACAACAATTAGCCATCTCATCCAAGATCACAAATATTGTCAAGACTTACCGGAGCATAATTCCAACATGAACAATCGACCGCCTGGTCGTAGAAGAGAACGGCAGTTTTTCATTGTTTGAACAAGGTCTGGGGTAGCATGAAGAACCTGCTTGATGTTAGTCTTCCTCTTCCCGATTTCAATAGGCGGGCTTTTCATTACGTTTGCAGCAACAACAAGATCATAGCTGCCAAGTTCCAGGCCCTGTGAGGCAGGATTTTTGCTTATATCCAAAACAGTGTACTCAATACCAGAGTACTCCCCAAAGCGCTCCTTTGCAGCCTTGAAGAAGCCCGAGGATATGTCGGTGTAGGTATAGGTACTGAACAGGTGGTCACCGGCAGAGTCCATTAAGGCTGGCAGGATGGTAGAAGTAAAGCCTCCTGTCCCGGCTCCAATCTCCACTACTCGCAAGGTTCCTCTGTTCTTGTGGCCTAGGAGCCGGAAAAAGTCGCGGTACTCCAGCATGTTGAAAAAATTGTAAATTTCCATGAGCAAGTTATCTTTCAAGAGTACTGCAAGAGGCTCTACTGCTCCTGTGAAGATGCCTTCCACATCATTGAATATCCTGACAATGGCAAGGGCAATGTCCCGCGCCGGTGTCGCAATAGCTTCTTCCGTCAGCGCTTTGATAGCAGAGGCTCGCTTCTCCGGTTCCATTTCCAGGATCTGATTGACGTCTTTCACGACACGACTGCCGTTTTGCTGTAGCTTGTGAATGTATTCCTCATTCCACTCCTTGAATCGTTTGAAATGGTGATGCGAGCTGTCGAGGTGTTTGAGTATCCTAGTACTTTCCAGTACACAGAGGATGTTGAGTCTCTCGACGAGTTCGAGGCAGCTGCTGAGATCATGGTCTTGACGCACCATCTGGTCCAAGTTGGTGAGATCAATATCCGGCCGCCACTCAAGTAGGTGAAGCTCCTTCAACGGGTCTTCTATGGTACTGGTATGAATATCAAGTAGGCGAAATTGGATCCCTTTGGCCTGAAGTGCTAGGGCTCCACCCCTAGCCCCTATAGAGCCATGTGCCGAGAGCGTATCGTGGCCACTGAAGAGGGTATACGCATCGCAGTGAAGATTGTTCAAGTAATCACTACCGCCGATAGACATCTCCTCGATGTAGACAGGAAGAGCTGTCCTGTTCAGAAGTCTTTCATGACCCTTGACTGAACCGAGAATGCAGCACTGTAAGAGTTGGTCTATAGTCGTGGGATGAAGCAACCCATAGTATTGCTCGGTTGATTGCAGCTTGGCCGACGTACAGTCGCGAGAGAGATCGTAGAAGATATCTTGCAGCCCTTGGAATAAAGGCCCGTACTCTAGACCAACCGACTTGGCGGCTTGATACCATTTGGCGGTAGCCACTTCTCTCTTGCCTTCTGGTGCAGACAAGTTCAATCTAGTTGTGGACGAATCCAAGGCATCTGCAGTGCGGATCTCTCCGCTACAGTGCCGGCTCCATCTAGTTCCATCGTATGACATGACACTGAACTCAAACCAGGCTGAATCCTGATTGTCCGTTAATCTTAGAGGCTGAAGCCGGGTCATGATCTCGGTGGCCTTCCCATTTTGTAGAGGCATGGCTGATCCGATGGATAATGCACGGATGGTGAATGAACCCGGATGCGAAGAAAGCTGTCTCACAGCCTCAGTCGCCATGGTGATGTACCCGGCAGCAGGAAAGACAATGTCACCAGCGACCACATGGTCAGAAAGCCAGGGCACGTCTTTCAGACTCAGCATCTTTCTCCAGGTGGGCTCGAGGTCATTGCCGCCGATGACGCGTGTACCAAGCAGCTCATGCTCGGGGTGAGCGCGTGTGCGAATTTCCCGAGAGATTCGGCTCTCATGCCAGTAGGATGTGTCGTGGGTCCAGGGATATGGAGGCAGGCTAGACATGGTGTTAGCCCCGGGATTCATAGCCGCGAAGTCGACCTTGACCCCCTGACAAAACAAGCGGCCAACGGCACTCAGTAACGATTGAGTGCTATCGCTTGATCTACTTAGACAGCTATCATAGGTCACGGTCTTGCTTCTGTCTTTGCATATTTGGCGGAAGGGTCCAGATAAAGCTGAGTGAGGGCCGAGCTCGAGAGCCAATCCAAATTCTTGCGTACTCTTGAGGGCAGATTCTACCGCGGACAGGAACAGCACCGGGTTCTCCATGTTTGACTTCCAGTAGTTTGGACCTAGAAGACTTGCATCCCGAGTTTCCATTCTTGTGACGGAGGAGAAGAATGGGATCGGAAGAGAGTTATCATGCGGGGATTTGATGGTCGAAATCAACTCCCTATAGACTGGACCCACTGATATCATATGATCTGTGGTGTGTTAGAGCCATTTTCCTCTTACGAAACCGCTACTGAAGGGCACCTACCTGAGTGATATGCTTTATCGACTTTGAGCTTCCGAGCTAGTGCTTCTGATCGGTACTGACGTACTCTATCCAGTGTTTTCTCTATTGCACTGAGATCGCCCGAGATGGTTACGCTAGATCTGCTATTCTCGCAGGCTATGGTCGCGCCGGGGGTCAATAGACCACTTACCTCATCCCTACCCAGTCCTACAGCCGCCATGGCGCCAGGTTTCGTCTGCTGGGAACTAGTAACACCCCGATAAAAGGCCACTAAAATCGCATCTTCCATTGTGAGGGCGCCAGCAGTATAGGCTGCTGCAATCTCTCCACTGGAATGACCAACCACTCCATCCGCATGGACATTCCAGTTGCGCAATAGGTTGACCAAGGCGATTTGAATGGCTGTGCAGAGGGGTTGTGCGTATTCTGCTGTGTTGATATCCTCTGCATTGGAAATCTTATCTAGATTGAGGTGACGTGTTAGTTAGTGGGATGTGGAGGCAGTTTTTCTAGAGGGTTTATAACTTACCTTCCATCCTCCACGGAGGCGGAAACTGACACTCTGAAAGATATTTATCCATCTGCTGGATGTCTTTCCTAAACGACGGAAAGTCACGAATCAGTTCGCGACCCATGCCACTCCACTGTGCTCCCTGGCCGGTGAAAATGAAAAGGAGACGACCGTTCTTAGGTCTTCGAACTATTGCTGAAGGCTGTAATGACGACCCGTCAGTGACGCAAAAAGTCCTGAACTTATGGTGATGCCGTCTTGCGCCGAGAGTGTAAGCTAGATTTGTTAATTCAAAGAATTCAGACCCTATGAAGGCTTCGTATTTGTCTAGCATGGTTTTGAGGGATGTCTCTGTATGAGCTGAAAACACCAGCAGCCGCTGTGACGAAACAGGCTTGTTATTGCCATTTATCTGCGGAATTCCGTTCGTCCTGCGCGCGGAGGGGTCTGCTTCAATAATCACGTGTGCATTTGCACCGCCGAGGCCAAATGAATCAATACTAACCCTGGGATCTCGTCCTTGTGGCCAGGGTAATGCTTCTGTCGGTACTACCAGATTGGCTTCGGTGAAGGGAACTATAGGTCTTTTTTAGTCACTGAACCAAAGTAGAAGTTGCTGGATTACTGGGGGAGCATACTCTTAGGATTAGGGGTCTGGAATTTGATGTTTGGTGGGATGGTATGTCGTTCCAGGGAGAGGACTGCTTTGATCAAGCTGCTCAGGCCAGCAGCCCCCTCTCCGTGACCGATGTTTGGTTTTACCTAGAAAGACTCGATTAGATATGGGGATGACCAAAACCTTTTTTCTTACTAAGATTGCTATTACTTACACTACCGATATATGTCTGGTGCTGGTGGCCAAACGTCTGGACGACAGCCGCCACCTCGAGCGGATCTCCCGTTGCTGTACCTGTGCCATGGCATTCGACCATGGGAGTTGCCTCTGGGTTGCCAATCCCAGCCTTTTCATATGCTCGCCGGATCAAGCTGGCCTGGGCGTCGGTGCTAGGATTGGTCAAACCCACGGTCTTGCCGTCAGCGTTGACCGCTGTGCTGCGGATGATGGCGCGGATGGGATTGCCATCGCGCACGGCATCGTCTAGCCTCTTGACATAGATGGCATTGACAGCATCTGCTCTGGCGTAGCCATTTGCATTGGCGTCGAAGGCGCGGGATGATCCGTCGGGAGACAATGCGCCGAGGTTGTCGAGGGCGAGGAAGTACTCGGGTGAGAGTAGCAGGTTGGAAGCTCCCACCAGTGCTCCGGAACAGTCGCCCCGATTTAGCGCTTCACACGCCAGATGCAGCGCAATCAAACTTGACGAGCAACCAGCCTTGACTGTCATGCTGGGTCCATGAAGATCAAGCTCGTACGACACGCGGTTGGCAAAGACGAAGTCGTCCATGCCCGTGATGTCGTAGACGTTTCCTTCTTGCATGTCACGGGCTTGCATCTGCAGCCAGTCCTGGCCAAAGCTACCCGCATATACCGCAATGTCGCTACCACGCCAATTGACCTCACCAGCATTCTCAAGCGCCTCATGCATGACCTCGAGCAATAGTCTCTGCTGGGGGTCGACGCGCGCAACTTCGGCTTGGGACATGCTGAAGAAAGCTGCGTCGAAGCGGTCGACGGGCTCATCGAGAAAGTACCCATGCCTCATGGACAGATTACTGGCTCCCTGGCTTTTTCCGTGGAAGCCGTCAATGTTGAAACGCTCTGGGGGGATCGATCGCCGTGCGTCTTTCTGGTTGACCAGAAGGTCCCAATAGGATTTCCCATCGTGGCAACCGCCAGGGAGCCTTAGACCGATGCCAACAATTGCTATCGGACTGGGACCAGAGCTACTTATTTTGATGGTCATATTGAAATAAGAAAAAAAGGTTGAACTTTACTGACAGAAATTCAGCGGCAGTGCAACTTGCATTTGATGTAGAACTAAGTATACTATCTATTAATCCTTCATCAAGCTCACCAAGTAGTCTGGTTGTGTTACCTCCAATAATAGACGCTCACCAACCTGCATTCACAGGTACTTACTAAACAAACCCTGGCAGTGCGACCCGGCTGCTTACTAAAATACGTCTAATAAACTAAAATCCAACGTTCGTTCTGCTTCTCAGTTGGGCGGTTATTCTTGGCGCTCACCATTCATGCTGAGTTTGATCGGCATCTCGAGTCGCCTTGCCTAACCTGTCGTCTTATCTACGAAATACAACTAGATACCCCTGCAAAATAAGGATTGAAATCGGCATCTTTCCCTTGTCGGACTAATACTGTTTCATGCGAGCCAATAAAGTAGATGGCGACAAGTGAGTACGTACCTATTTGAAGGTGGCTTGAATCGGTCTCCGACGGTAGGATATAGTACATATCTGTGATAGTGAGTTGCCTACGTCCTGTGTAGCAATCTTATCCTTAAGCATCTACTTTTACCTTTCTGCTATATTGCGGTCTTCCATGATATGATAACTGTTTCAACACAAGTAGTGATTACCCAACTATGGATATCGCTGCTCACCATGTCTTCCTCTTTGGGGACCAGGCGGATGCCCCATTGCCCATGATTCGCCGGGTAGCCGAAAAGGCTCGCCATTCTAAGAATCTTGAATCATTCCTCCAAAGCGCTATCGACAATGTGCAATTAGAGGTTTCGAGACTTACACCTGCGGAGCGGGACACTATCGGACCATTCCACTCGTTGCAGGGCCTCACGAATGCTTTGAAGGGAAAATCAGACCGTCATGGAATCGCACAAATGGTCTCAATTTTTATCGCACGGATAGGAGAGTTGATTTTGTAAGTGCAAGCACTTCCTCGTATACCTCATCAAAGCGGTAAGAAAGTTGTCTGACATGATCCTTAGACATGCAGAGAATGACCCAGCCCTTCTGGATAGCTCGACACCACTGCTCTCTCTTGGCATTTGCGGCGGTCTTCTCCCTGCTGCAGCTGTTGCCGTGGCCACCAACATCCATGAATTGATAGAGGTAGCTAGTTATCTCGCTCGAGTCAACTGCCGAGTCGCGGTCGCGATATCTAGGCGCTCATTGGAGATCGAGAGTGGAACCGGGAGTTGGGCGTTTTCGGTTCTAGGAAAAGATATTGTTGCACAGCTCCCGGATATCCTAAAAGATTTCCATAGAGAACAGGTACGATCTCGAACATGTACAAGACTGTTCTTGGTTATGAGCACTATGTTGACTTTTACATTCTAGTCAATCCCGCGCCATAGACGAGCTTGGATCGCCGTCAGCACACCCACCTGGGCCACAGTCTTTGGACCCCCTTCCGTCCTTTGCAAGCTGAGAGAAACTTCCATCCCGCTGCAAAGGAGTGATATATCTGAGTTACCGGCGTTTGGGGCTGTGCATGCGGCTCATTTGGCGGCTCCCGAGTTTGGTGATCTTGTGGAAGAGAGCCCTTTACTGAATAGACCCCTCAAAACCGGCTATCGGCTCCTTTCTGGAAGTAGGTATGCACCTTATAGTGCGTCTACCTTGAAAGATTTGCTTCCCCAAATTATGCTCGATATATTCCAGAATGAAACCGATCCATCTCGTGTCTTCGAGGTGGCCGGGTCATATCTACGAAAGGGGGCATCTCCTTCGCTCTACATGTTGGGTGCTACTAGCTACCTGGTTCTCCTGCGCCGATCTTTACACACCCAAGGGTTTAAGGTGGATCTTAAGACCAATCCACCTAGTCTGCAGACCGCAGAGCTTCGTGGCGGCTCTGGGTCGGTCGCTGTTGTCGGCATGTCCGGTCAGTTTCCAGGGGCGGCAAGTGTGGACGAGATGTGGGACGTGCTCATGCGGCGAGAAGAGCTTCATAGGAAGATTCCTGCAGAGCGGTTCAACGCTGATGATTACCTGGATGAGACAGGTCGTGGCCTCAACGCGATAACCACTGCATATGGCTGCTTCCTGGGGAGCCCAGGCCTCTTCGACCACAAGATGTTCAATGTCTCGCCGCGGGAAGCAATGCAGATGGACCCCGGACAAAGACTTCTCATGCACGGTGTGTACACTGCTCTCGAGGATGCAGGTCTTGTCACTGGTGGCACTACCTCTGCGGACAACCGACGCATTAGCACGTACATAGGCGATGGTAGTGACGACTGGCGAGAACTTCAGCAACAACACGGCGTGGACAAGTACATTCTCCAAGGGACACAGCGGTCATTCACGCCAGGACGTCTCAACCATCATTTCAAGTGGGAAGGTGCCACTTTCTTGGTCGATTCGGCATGCGGCTCCACAGCGTCTGCGGTAGGGCTGGCATACAGAGCATTGATCAACCGGGACTGTGACACTGCCGTTGCGGGAGGGGCAAACATTATCGCCACACCTTTCTGGCAGTCTGCCCTCAGCAAGGGCGGCTTCCTGTCCACGACCGGAGGTTGCAAGACGTTCCGCTCAGACGCTGATGGTTACTGTCGGGGCGAAGGAGTTGGAGTAGTCGTGCTCAAGCGTCTAGAAGATGCTCTCGCGGAAAATGACAACATCATCTCCGTCATTCGTGGCTACGCTAGAAACCACTCGGCCGACACAGTCTCCATCACTCGACCCCATGTCCCGGCGCAGGAGCGTGCCTACCAAGCCGTTCTCCAAAATTCTGGTCTGGAGCCAGATGATATTAGTTACGTGGAAATGCATGGGACAGGAACCACTGCGGGAGACTCTGCCGAGCTAGAGTCAATCGTCAATGTTCTCGCTCAGAAGAGCACAAGGGCAACGCCATTGGTCGTAGGGGCTATCAAAGCGAACCTGGGACATTCTGAGGCGGTGAGTTTTCAGGAAAATCTGCAAGCTCGTGGCTTTACTTGGCTAACTTGGGATAGGCATCAGGCATTTCCTCCTTGATGAAAGCATCCCTTATGTTTCGCAAGGGAGTCGTTCCTCCTCAAGTTGGAATTCCCGAGAAACTGGGAACCTTTGACTGCCTCGATCGCGGCTCCGTCCTTATCCCTGGCGAACCAGTTTCCTTCACACGACAAAGCGTTGGCAAGAAGCGGACCATGATAGTGAACAACTTTGATGCTGCAGTAAGTATTAATCGCCACTCTTCTCACCTGCTCGAAAGCATCTGGCTGACATTGCTCCATTGAAAAGGGAGGCAATAGTTGTTTTGTATTGGAAGAGCCACCTACGCCTTCACCGAAAGGCTCTGACCCCCGCCGCTATCATGTCGTTACCGTTTCGGCACACTGCCAAGCTTCGCTCGAGGGGAACAAACAGCGTTTGCTTCAGTTTCTCACCGATAACAACCAGACCAGTCTCGCAGACCTGTCTTATACAACAACGGCTCGCCGCATGCATCACAATTTACGCTCAGCATATGCTGGCGATAGTATTCAAGATATCATCAACGACTTGACCCGTGATCTCGGTACAAATAACCGTGGCGATGATAGGACTGGGGAGCCTCGTCTTGCGTTCGCATTCACCGGCAACGGGGCACACTATGCTGGTATGGGAGCAGATCTGTTCAAACTTTGGCAACCATTCCGGGCAGTCATCACTAGTCTTGAGAAGAGTTGTGTGGCACACGGGTTTCCTCGGTTCGCACATGTCATCTCGGATCCGTCTACAACAATGGAGAATGTCAGCACGGCGCAGGTTCATCTGTCCATGGTTGCCCTGGAAATCGCACTTGTAGATGTGTGGAAGCTCCTGGGCATTTCCCCCGATGTCGTCATCGGCCACAGTATTGGCGAATATGCCGCGCTGTATGCGGCGGGGGTGCTCTCATCAACAGACACCATGTATCTGGTAGGAACACGGGCAATGCTCTTGCAGGACAACCTGGAAGATGGTGCCAATGGAATGTTGAGCATCTCAGGAACACAGCAAAACATTGCAGCCATTGTCTCAGATGAGAGCGTCATGGTCGACTGCGAGATAGCTTGCCACAACAGCCCGGGCATGGTAGTACTGGGCGGCCCGCGACAACGGCTGGCAGAAATCGAGGAGCAACTGCTCAGTGCAAGCAAGTGTAAATGCAAGTTGCTGAATGTTCCGTACGCCATGCACTCGAGCCAACTGGACAGCATACTTCCGGGAATCCGTGAAGCAGCCCGGGGCGTGTGCTTTGGCACTCCGAATATCAAGGTTATCTCGACCTTGACGGGCGCGGAGCAGCGACACTTTGATGGCGGCTATCTCGCACGGCAAACAAGGGAGGCTGTCAAGTTCACCCAAGCCATATCGCACTGTGTCTCTCAGGGTCTTGTCGATTCGACTACGCTGTGGCTAGAAATCGGACCCGCTCCGGTATGCCTAGGACTTGTACGTTCAAACACTAGCGTGGCCTCGAGTCATGTCATGACTAGTATGACAAAAGAAGACGGCGGGTGGAAGTCTGTCGCATCAGCTTTGGCAGGTCTCTACGTGGCTGGTAAGACAGTCGGCTGGCGCGAGTACCACAGCCATTTCATCGACAGCGTCTCACTCATCCCCCTGCCTTCATACTCTTTCGATACGAGGAACTTCTGGATGCCCTTTACGGCTGGCAGCAAGCATGAAGATGTACAGCTCATTTCCTCGTGCTTACATCATCTTGTGAAGCAGGAGGATGACGGTAAAGAACAATCCGCCACCTTCACGGCCATGGTATCACAGCCGTCCCTGCTCGGAATGATCCAAGGTCACAAGCTGTCGGGTATTACCGTTTGCCCTGCTGGAGTATTCGCCGAGATGGCCCTCACAGCCGCCCGTTATGTGCATACTGGCGGGTCAATGAAGGCGCAGTTTCCATTGTTTTCAGTCCTCGATCTCCAGATTGATCATCCCATCAAGCCCCAACCTGACTCTCAGCCAGTCATTCAGGTAAACGTCAGTAAGCCAAGAAATTCGAGAGACTTTGCCGTTTCAATTATGGATCAAGCCAAGCCCTCTTTGATCACGTCAAAGTGTTGCGTTCGCGAGAGAGATGAGCAGGACTTCGACACGACGCGACAGCAACGACTGGGCGTGATGCTGCCCAAAATTTCCAAACTGATGCAAGACGCTGCGGTAGGGCTCGCGAACCGATTTCAAGGCAAGCTCTTCTACCGGCTGTTTGCGAACCTCATGGATTACACTGGGCAGTATGAAGGTGTACAGGAAGCCATTGTGAACAATGACTTCACCGAAGCTCTGGCCACGATTAGACTTCCAAAGGGGCAGGACGCCAGTGAGTCGTGTACACTGTCGCCGTATTGGATCGATGCTCTCACCCATCTGGCCGGTTTTCTCTTGAACGGCAACCCGATGAGCAGCGGAGACTATGTATACATCGGAACACATATGGAGCGTATGGAGATTGTGGCCAAGGACTTTTCTCCAGACGTCGCGTACCAGAGCTATGCCTATATCGAGCATACAGAAGGGTCCGATGACTACCGTGGCCATGTCTATATTCTTAACGCTGATGGCATCGTGGGCTTCCTGGAAGGCGCGCGCTTCCGTAAGATGCCACGGACAACGCTGCACCGAATCCTAGGCAAGGTCGAACCTGCGGCCACTACTACGAGTAACCGATCCATTGCGGCGGAGCCACCCGTGAACGGCACCAACGGCACCAATGGCACCAACGGTATCAACGGTACCAACGGCCATCACAAGACGCTTGAGTCGGTACTGGTCGAGCGTCTCATGGAGGAAACCGGCATGGACGAGAGCGAACTCCAGCCATCGACCTTCTTTGCCGAGATTGGTGTTGACTCGCTCATGTGCCTCTCCATCCTAGCCGACATCAAGGCGGAGACTGGGGTCGAGCTGAACGCGTCGTTCCTGCTGGAGTATCCCACGCTCGGGGATGCACAACGCCAACTACGGACGATGGAGGGCAAGCGTAAGCGTGAAAGGGCAGACTCAGCAACCGCCAATGGTAACGGCGCAGTGGTGTTGAACGGAGAGAACGGCCTGCCCACCACCAAGCGCGAATGCAACGTCGTCCTCATGCAAGCACAAGGGCACACGTCTTCCAGCCCGCCCCTGTTCCTGATGGCCGACGGCGCTGGCTCTGCAGCGGCCTACATGCACCTACCCAAGCTGCTAGACGTAGCAGATGGCGTCTACGCCGTGGAGTCGCCCTGGGTACGCGACCCAGCCGAGTTCACCTGCAGCTTCGAAGAGGCCGCGGCGCTGTACCTGGCGGCAGTGCGGTCCAAACAGCCGCGTGGGCCGTACCTGTTAGGCGGTTGGTCTGGCGGCGGCGTGTTTGCGTATGAGGTGGCGCGAAGGTTGCTCGATGCGGGTGAACGCGTGTTGGGTCTGGTGGTCATCGACATCCCAGCGCCGAGCCTGCACCCCTCACCCTCTGGACTGGTGGCAGAACCAACCATGGAAATCATTGATATGATCGGTATGCTCAGCGGCATCGAGCGCAACTTCGCGGACAAGGCTGAGAGCCCCGAGGCCGCACGCCTCAAGCGCCATATGCTGGGCACCGTCACGTGCTTCAGCCGCCTGATCCCCATTCCCATGCTGCCTCATCTACGGCCCGAGCACACCTTTGTCATCTGGGCCACCAAGGATGTCCTGCCCAAGGCCGCCTTCGATCAGCTGCCTCCAGGCCTGGACGCTTGGTTCTATCCTAAGCCACGTGACAGGGGCCCCAACGGCTGGGATGCTCTCGTTGGTGACGCGGTAGAATACCGCCAAGTGCAAGGCGACCATTTCTCCATCATGACGGCTCCCGAGGTCTTGGAGCTTGGCCAGGTTATACAAGCTTCACTTGAAGAGTGCAGGGTGTAGGATAAGACAGCCATGTTTATTCCTATCGCCGTTTCCTTCCTGAGATTGTAGTGGGTACTATTTAGCAGGTATAGATCATATATGAGAATGGATACGAGGCATAGTTATTTCATCAGTTAGGAGTCATGTAGTTTTTTCACCAATCTAGAGCCGTTATCATTATCACACATGTTATGGATTAATTGGTCTTATTCGTTTGCGCCTCGTATGCCATTAAATTAGAGCCTTCATTTTAGCTGTGTTCGAGCTTCATTCTACATCAGAAAACAATGTGAATGACTTGAGAGTCACCATCTCAACCACTATGCCTACACCAAAGAAGGGCTCGGTAATTGGTAAAACACGATCCTCCCTACCGAGAACAGCCAGCACGTGAAGGCGGGGCAGTAGGAACAAACAGGAGCAGCGTACAAGGCAGTCCGAAACGAGTTTGTAAGCATGCAACTAGGTCAGAGATTCCAAGTTCAGCATAGTGGACAAAATACCAGGTCGGGATTCCGAATTCAGCAGTAGTGGACCAGTCCTTATTGTAGCGGTTGTGCCCGATATCTCCATATCCCTATAATAATAGGCATAAAAGACCTGTCAGAACAGCTATATCCAACATCTCTTGGATATTTGCTTTACGACTCGTTACTGTGTCTTTCAAATTCTATCCGGTTTTATTTGGCAGAAATGGCTCCAAAGGTCGACAAGAATAATCATGACCTGGTTCGGGGGGTATGGCGTTTGTTCCGCCTCCATACAATCGAGGGATTGTCGACAGTGAGCATTGGATGCACGTCTTCTTCTACTTTTTCAGACATGTTACGACTTTGTTAACATCCTACAGGGCTCGCGCTCTTCTTCTACGCCATGCAGCAAGATTTGCCGTTTGCTTTGGTCCGACGTGCGTTCCTCGGCATCTTTGCTACCTATCAAATCACACACTGCGTCTTTTGTCTGTGGAAGTAAGTTTTTTCCCCAAAAGAGTAGCAACAGGGATTGATCTAATGTGGCTAGTGATATTTGCGACCGCGACTTTGACGCAAAAGTGGCGCGCACAAGGGACCGTCCTCTCCCCTCGGGCCAGGTTACCCTCACCGAGGCAATTATCGTCTTTATCATTGGTCTCGCCGCCGCTGTTGCCTTGACGTATAAGATACTGGGCGCAGATGTCACAGCAATCATGGTCCCCATATGGGGACTTTCCACCATCTATCCTTTGTGCAAGCGCGTCATCTGGGCTCCGCAGGTCGTCCTGGGTCTGACCATGGCCATGTGCGTGCTGCCCCCAAGGATGGCCGTGAGACCGCACAGCGGCGATGCGGGACTACTGCCCGCCAGTCTCTTTGGCGCAATCTTCTGTTGGCTCGTGTACATCGACTTGATTTATGCTTCCCAGGTAAGTACCTTTTATTTGAGAGGGTATTCATATATGTTATCATCACCCCAGCCCTCAATCACTCTCACTTGCAGATTTGTATCTAACGTTAGTCTCCTGATAGGATCGACCTGATGACAAAAAGGCCGGCGTCAAGTCACTAGCCATTTTCCTGGGCGACTATTTGAAGGCTGGCCTGACAGTCCTGGGCGTTGCGCAAATCGTCTGTTTTGTAGTGGCGGCGGCTGAAGCACAGGCAGGCTTCTTTGTCTGGATATTTGGCATCGCTGTTTGGTCAGCCTCAGTTCCTTGGAGCATCATCTCACTAGACTTGCGTGATCGCAAGTCGGGTGGGCGCATTTTCCTCATGAATGCCATTTTAGGTATTTACATGGCGGCAGTATCAGGTATAAACGTCGTATCACCCGCCATATGGGCATGAAACAAGGGAGCATGAAGCATAGGCAGCACCATGCCTTCCGGAATGGTAGCGCAAAGTAAGCGGAGATTAGACTGATCTCACAATGGGAGGTGAGATATGATGAGATATGTACACGGCGCATGAGATTTCCAAAATTGTTTTCATTTGCGAGATTGAAACTTTTACCACCTCCACGGTGTGTTTTGAGTAAGTCTGTCTAGAATTTCACGAGCTTCTTTCTTGAGTTCAGGTTCCACTAGATACTGAATAGCAATGGAAAGACAACTGATAGTCACGTAGCCAAAGTCTCTGTTTCATGTCAAACATGTTGTTAGCATTTTCTGATCCACCAAAAATAAGAAAGGTGAAAAAAACTAGTTCATGGGGTTTGATCGAGAAATAGGGACCTATACTTATCTTCACCCTGCGAAGCAATTCCGCATATATCCATAGCGTGCCTTATCTGTCTGCAGTGGGCTTCCTGCGCCTCGGCTGAGCGTTCGGCAACTCCGATCCTGACAAGCAGCAAGCACGAGATGTGGTAAAGCAGGCGCGCGACCGTCGCTGAGGACCCAACGAACAAGACCTGAGGAAAGTGCGATGTAGTTTCTGATTTTGAATCTTCGTCTGGAGGTGGGATGTAGCACAGCGGCATCATCGATCTCGGCACGTTACTGGCCCAATCGTCGCACCAGCCCTTGTACTGCTCACGGTCCTGGCGGAGACGGTCCATCGAATCGTCATATATGCCGTGTGCTACCTCTGTATGAAGTGCGGCAACCTTCGCACATATCGACAGCATTCGGTAAGCCCATACGTCTTCGTCGCAGCAAAGTATACCGTTGTTAGTACTACTCGTACCTTGGACCGCGTTCAGTGCCATGTCCATTTTGTCGGCATCGCAAGTCAGCCTCGAGTTGTGGGCGAGACTATCTAATACCGAATTGAGGTTGTATGCCCAGAAGCAGGCACCAGCCAGACGTGAATTTCTGCCACTGAGGTCGGCGTGTCCAATCAACGCCTGTATGCGATCCGAGTGGCTCTTTTTGTTGTTGGCTCCGTCACCCATGATTTCATATGCATGTAGTAAGGCTGAGATGGTGACACACAGGAGATGATCGGCATTGGGCTTGGCTACCTCGAGCTCAATACCCTGGCATGCCTTTTCATAGTAAATTGATTCCTCGTTAGGCATCAAATATCTCTCCCCGCAAGCCATTACCGTGTTGAAAAGTGCGGGTTGACTTAGAGCGTAAAAAGGCGTGATATTGGTAAACTATTTTGATCTGGTCAGTCATGACAGAGGGTGATTAATCTGATTGTTCAACCCACGGGTTTGCTCGCAACCAGGCAGTCCATCCAAGGCGCCACCTTGCCAAGAAATATCTCAATCAGAAGACCCTCATCATGGTTGGTAATGACCCGCAACGAGGGCAAGGGGCTGCACTGTGCTGGGACTAGCGCGGTCTGCTCTGCACAAGACGCTACCCTCACGGGCAGAATCGGGCCATCTCTGGGTAAGCTCGCTTGGGATAGGCCTGTCTGCTGTTTAGGCTCCGTGTGCGAGGTGTGGACATGTTTTTCCTTCTGTGGGTCAACAGCGTACCCTGACGCGATGGCTCGCGACTCGTCGTGGAACTTGAGCTTAGTGCCTGGAGGCAGATCTATGAGACCAGACTGTGACGTGCATGTCTGGATGTCGATGAAATTCAGACGGATCCCTCTCTCACAGACCCGATTGGATTTGCAGCAGTTTCTACACCTAAAAGTGTAGTCAGCAAGCTGAACGGTCTTGGTGCTGCTGTAACGTATCGCGATGCAAACCATACCTGGGCAATGTTTCGTCGCATTTGATATGCCTGTCCCGACACGTCAGGCACCCGGTTCGAGCTCGGAACTGCTCTTTTCCCATTACTTGGAGCTACTGGGAAGATACTGGGCTCGCATAGGTCAAGGCCGGACAATCTTCACGGGGTTACACGTGAAATAATAGGTCCGTAGAAGTAGTCCGATACGACTCACACAAATACTGTCTACCTGCAAGGCAAGACGAGACGAGCCCCTCGCCCTCGCATGCGCTTACCCTCCCTTGTCCCGTGTAACCCACTCGATCCTACATGCTACCCCGCCTTCTTACTGGGGCGTACGGCCCGCAGAGGCCACATCTGGCGTGATGTTGAACATCTGTTCTCATCCGGCCTTGCTTAGTCCAGATCAGGCCTCCCATGACCTTTCTTGACTCAAGTACTTTCTTGACTCATGTGTCACCCACTGCAGCTGTACGAGATACCTGGTCAACACGTACAACCGTATTGGCTTAAACACATGCAAACATACACACTCAAAATTTTGATACAAAAGTTAAACAATAAACGAATTAAACGATTGACGGATAAAGCTTGAATCATATCATTACAGTAGGCTATTATATGCCGTCTTCTGGATCATACCATGTATAGTCCAGCTATCATGGTCTCGTAGCTCCCTACATCATTTTGAACGTATATAATATATCTCTATCAATCGCTTGAAACATTTCTTTCTTCCTGATCTTAAAACCAGTGCGCCGTGAATTCTACAATTACACAATGAGAACATTTCTCGAATTGTGAATCCGTAGATGCGAGTAATCAAAATTTTCGTCTCGAACCTCTCCCGACGCTCTTGATTTCCAGCATTCTTCGAGTAAATCGAGGAGACCACAGAGACTAACGGAGTTTTTCAGCTGGCTTGAAAGAATTTGACGGAAGAAGCCGTGTCGCTCTTCTTCGACGACGCACCCGACGACGAAGAGCGGCCAGGCGAGTAGCTCGAGAAGCCGAGCGTCGTTCTTTATATCAGCCAGGGCGCCGAGCGCGCGCCCGGCTTTCTGTTTGACCTCTGGCAGTCGCGGATACGCACCGGACACAATGACCTCCAGAAGAACAGATACGGCGCAGGCAAAGGTATGGTTGATAACGTGTATATCGTATTGGCGCTGAGCATTAGAATGCAGGTGTCTGATATTGTGCTGTTCGAGGTCTTCTTTGCTTTTTCTCAAGACCATCATGTTGCTGGCTATCCTCTTCTCAAGATCTACCTGGATCGTGTTTGCTTTGGAGGTCAACTCCCACAAGCTGAGCAGGCCTGCTGCTCTTGTTTTCTTCTTCCAGTCTCGCAATGAGTAAACGTCGAGAAGTACTTCGAATATCCAGTTGCTGCAGCCGCAAACAGTTTCGAGAGATAATCGTTGGCCGGTCGACGCGAACCACTCCTTGTAGTTGTTGGAAAGTCCTGGAGCACTATCTTGGTTGATTGCCGATAAAATATCAATACGTATTATTGAACCTATGAAGAAATCTCTTGATGACTCCTCGGGAGATTTGGAAGACACCAAGTTTGTGTCATGCCGTATCTGGGCAATCCAAGGGGCAATTAGCGACGTGCCCGTTCTCAGGTGGGAGGTCCAGTCGACTTTGCCACTGTGAAGAAGCTGTCCAGGGTGTGTCAGTTACTTGTATTACGATGATAGAAAAGCTTTCGAGGGACCTACACTGGAGGAGATGAGTAAAACAGTGCAAGCCAACATCGATATGTCATCGACAGCTTTGGGCGTTCTCAGGTTGCGATGAAACTCTTCCGTTGCCAAGTTGTATCTTCCGGCACGATCTTCGTACCGTAGTTTTGTGTAAGGGCCTTCTACCGCTCTTTGATTGCTCATGTGCGAGATGCTCAATGCGAGAGATGCCAGGTACAAGGGTCGTGACTTGGACATGAGCCATAAGAAGTACCCTTGGCTAAAACCACTCAGAGGTGTCGAACAGAACGGGAACTGCCAGTTGAAAACCTTCTCTATGCAGTAGGCTAGCAATATGGCGTCCTCCATGTCGGTGATGGGGAGCATGAATGAAGAAGTCCCGTGCGATGGGTACGCTGTGCTGATTTGACTCTCGGGCGGCGACAGGTAGGCGCCGCAAAGGTCGTCCGCAACACCCAGCCCAGCCGTACTTTGTTCCATGTGTAAGTTGGCTGTCAGGATGGATTCAAGCTCTGGTAGGTCGAAGTTTTGCTCAGAGAGAAAGTCTATGTCCTCGAGACTTGTCTGGAAATCGGCATCCCCCGAGTGAGGAAGAGTAACGGGATATCCGGGTAAAAACGTCATATCATCGAATATCCTTTGTGAATCGGAATCATCCGATGAAGCCAGAGTATCTGCGACCATTGTGCTTTGGCCATCCTCCTCAAGAACTTCTGCAGGCTGACTCCTTGCATGCTCATCCTGGGACCTGTCGCCAAATGTCTGTGTAGGAGAGCTGTGCTCATGGTCCATGAGTATGTTGTTCGAAGCATCGGGAGCTTCGGTTCGAATGGTGGAGCGTTCCGCGTGGGAGTTTGGGGGCTGCTTAGCTACCCAATCGTTTTGGGCTCGCGCCTGTTTGTGCCGTCGGTTCTTGGTCAGCTGTGCAAGCTTCTCCTTCATCTTTGCTGCTTGTGCCTTTTGTCGAGTACCACGGTCCATCCAGGTCGGTCTTGTACCAAATCCGTGGCAATCAAGTCCCAAGCACATGCATTCCGTACATATAGGTCGCCTTTCGTCACACTTCTTCTTCCGGAGCCTGCAAGACCAGCACCCATCTTGGCTACGAGTCTCGGTAGCCATTGGATCTTTACGGTTGATATCGGACAGAACGAATAGTCAAAATGGCCGTCAACAGTAAGTGTTTGTTCTTCGTGAGGCCTTCGGGTTCCGGGTAGTATACCTTAACGCCCAGCTCATGCTAACATCAAGAGAACAATCCGTGGAAAGCTAGTGTTACCCTCAGCCCACCCATAGCATACACCAATCGGGCATTATTTTCATCGCTTACTTTATCACAGTGGCAATCGGGTATTATTTTCATCGCTTACTTCATCATAGCGGCATAGAAGGATGGCAGCCTCCATGTAACTCCACGCAGTGAGCTTCCTCATACAAGGGACATTGCCGGAAGGAGTGATACCTACTATACTTATTGATACTATATCTGGAAAATGGCTCGGGGTAGGGTTGCCAAGAAAGAGATGAGGGTAGGGTTAGGACTGCTGAGCCATGGGTAGAGAGAATGTACCTAATATGAACTTGTTTAGCTTAGTAAAATCCACGGCCCGCGCCCCCACCCTCATCAAACAATTTCACTCCACTCTATTCCTTTTACAGAGATAATGCAGTGAGATTTTAGCCTCCTGTACTGGTAACTTACTTAGCAGCTGGTGCAACGGCGCTATTTACCCGCTCTTACTATGACGCCACCCCGCACTTCCTTTATTCGTGCGTTCTCTCTTCCACAAGATTGCGCAACGCGCGTTCGTCCGAAAAGGATTGCCAAGACCCGGCACACTCCCGCGAAGTAGAAAGATAAGGGTCCAACATACGAAAACAGACCCTTGTCTACTAAACTGTTTTGAGAGGGATATACAGGATTACAAGGAAGTTCCAAATACCCGTTTCACAAAGATCCCAGAGGCTCCCAACAACCCCCACATCATAGGCATACCGATTTTTCTCGTCAGATTGAATGGCAGGACCCACGGTGCTCCACCTGCGACAACACGACGCGACGGCCACATGTACCACGGAGAAGTTAGGGACATCCAAAATACAACCCAGCTGAGCCCTATAACCTTCTCCCAATTAGCAGTTTTCCTCTCCTTATCTGAGTTGTTAGCGTGAAGTTTGTTGTAAAGGGCCTGGACTCCATCTTCGAGCATTATGCCTAGAGCAAATGATGAGAAGTAGGGAATGGAACCAGACTCCACTGCCGATAGACCCATTATGTTGGCAGAAACAGCATGCAGGATGCCTGACAAAAGGAAAACGAGGAAGTTGTTGGTATAGCGATCCAAAAGGGAGGGAATCGGCAGTTTCAGGATCCTGCGGGTCAGAAGGTATGTGTTGGAAGTAAAAGGCCAGCGCAGTATTTGATGCCAGAACTTGCTATATTGGAGTAGGGGTTAGTCTCTTTGTGAATTACTCCGTAATTAGGCGTGCCGTCATGGACTCACCCCCAGAAATTACGCAGAGTGTAGGCCTCCCACATGCTCCCAAACAATGGCCGCCAGCTCCGAGGGCTGGCCAGGCCTGATCCCACAGATAGGATGGATAGGGCGCGCCAAGTCGAGTCGAGAAGCAAGCGGCTGACCACAAACCAGGAAACAAAGGGCGTGAACGCCCTGATGAACCATTGCTCTCCCGTCAAATCGGAATACTCGTACTCTATCCCGGGGCGGTAAAATTTGTCCGTATTCTCGCGTGGCTCGCGCATGGTGACCTCAAGCATGACATCGAGGAACAGGTATTGCCAGGCCAAGATGGACCCCTGGCGGATTAGGAACCTTGTACGGCTGCCGCCACCGTGGCCGAGCGAGGAGGGGTGTTGTGGGGTATTCTTGGTCTCCCATGCCGTCTCCACGCCCCGCAGACTAATGACCAGGCGGGCTCCGTGCACCAGCTTGCGCAAGAAGGGGGTCGTTTCCGACGAAGGACCGGGCGTTGTCCCCGCTTTTCCGCTGTGGCGTTGCAGGTCGCTCCAGGTTATGCCGCCATCCTGAAGGATGAGCAACAGGTTTGTGCAGTGCGCGACCACAAGGATTCCTTCGCAGGCCAAGAAGCTATTATGGAAGATGCTATTGGAGAGGCTCGGCGCCAGCTGGAATATCAGATAGGCAGAGAGGCTGATGAACACCAATCCAAGATATCGTAACCATGAGTATTTGGGTGTCGCGACAATCAAACCGGCAGGGATCAGTATTTGCATAGCGAACAGGAGAGCGACGTTGGCGAATGCCTGAATGGAGCTGCGAGATAATGCCATGTTGTCTATAAGGGGTATAGTAGGTAGCGATGGAACTCTAGGCATTGAAGATTCATGAAGTAATTGTACTACAACCCCAGTGGTCTTTAAGACAAGAAGATTTCTATCTTTAGGTCGATTCGACTTTCCATTGTTGTTTCTTGTTGACCAACCAGAGGACAGTGTATCTGTTACACAAAGTATGGTGCAATAGCAAGGACGTGATAGCTCGGATATGATTGCCATGGTTTGAGAGCATGACGTAATAGTTATAATTTTCACAGTCAAATATTATTCCAGCTTCTCATACTGATGGGATTGCAAAAGTTACGACGGTACTTCTTCTTTTCTCTTGATTTCTCGTTCTGGTGACCTCCAAAGTCTAAACCATGCCATCGTGGGCTATCACAGGCGCTTCCCGCGGCATCGGGGTACGTTTTTATAAACATCAACGTATCATGGAACACGATTACTGATAATTCATCTGCTGTAGCTTGAATATGCTAAACAGCTTGTGTGTAGCCCACAGTATCTTTCTTTTTCCACCTGTTTCCCAGGGGTAGTGTCAAACTGACACCATTATGCTATATTAGTCTGCAGATGGGGGCAACCAGGTTTTCGCCCTTATCAGGAGCCAGCCAAGCGCGGAACTTAGCAAACTTGATTCTGAGAGAGGCAATCTTCACGTAATCAAGGCCGACGTCACTGATGCTCAAAGTCTCTCTGAGGCGGCTACCAAGGTGGGACAGTTGACTGAGAACAAGCTAGACGTGTTCATCAGCAATGCATGCCATCCTGGACTTGACTTGAGGTTTTACCCAACCTCAGCATTGTGAGGGCAATCCTACTCTGGGAAAGGCTGAGACAATGCATGACTGACCAGTTTACGATGTGTAGTTTGGGAAAAGAGAAGGAGCTCAAGAACGAGATCGATGCTCCTGTGCGTCTCCTTCTCACTCTACCACTCCCACCACCCCGACTCTTCTTCTTCTTTAAGTGAGATGGGTGACTGTGCTGATATGGGCAGTAGATGAGCGTCAACCTGATCGGGGCTATAAATTCCATCAATCGTTTTCTTCCCCTGGTTCGCAAAGGCGAACTGAAGAAGATCATTTACATCACCTCTCCGACGGGTGATGCTGAATTTACCCGCAAGTGTGGCGTCACCGTCACCATTGGATACACGGTCACCAAGGCTGCTATGAACCTTGTCATGTCAAAGTACGCTGCCGAGCTCAAGGGAGAAGGGATCAAGACTCTGGCACTCAGCCCGGGATGGGTTGACACAGATGGAAGTAAGCAGCTTCCCGCAAATTTGTCTCTTGATGGTTCCGTCGAGGCTAACCACAGACCATATGCGATGTATAGCCCGAGATATGGCCCCGACCCCAGAGGTGTTAGAAATGGCGCTACACATGTTCCAGAAGGTGAATCCGGATCTCACTAGGTTGTTGACTCCGGAAGAATCGGTGAGAATGCAACTTGATGTTATCAATAATCTGACGGCAGAGCAAAGTGGCTTAGCACTGTCCCATCATGGGGACCACAATTGGATGTGAAACGAAGGAGTGGTTCTAGTAGAAGCAAATATAGATCTAAAACATTCTTTACCACCTCTAAGCCTGAATCTTGATATCTTCTCACCACTCTTGTATCTTCCCAGATATGATCCCGTCTTGAACGTTGCCCTGCATTAGTAAAACAAATTGGAACCGACTATGTCATTCGAGATATGAGAGTCTCAGGCGTAAGACTTCTCTTTGATTTTCTGTACCAATGGCTGCACCGATGTCGACTTTTCCAACTCAACCTTGGACCAACAAGTGATACCCGCTAGCGAGGCTGCGGGACCAAGAAGCACTGTTTTTATGAGTACGACTGCCCAGGTAATGACCAGAGGAACCTCGGTAGCGGATATCCGTCGCAGCTCCCATGTCATGTACATACACCACGCGACAGTAAGGCTAGTCAAAGATACAAGGGCCCTCCCAAGTGGTGGCGAAAGCAGGCTAACAATGCCCTCGTTGAAGAGAGCAGCACTGTAGCTCCCAATTAGGGTGATGTGCACAGCGCTGGAAACGACAGCAATGGAGGTAAAGAACCGTCGCTGGTAGGGGACGTCGACGCTGGTGAAGACAACTTCCACGCCTTGAGGAACGGCTTTTATTGCCCCAAGGAATTTGCTGCTCATGTATACCAGTATCGGGAAAGTGTATTGAGCGACAGGCCACCAGTCGAACAGCCTCTTATCGGTGATTCCCAGGGCGGTGAGAATAATTGGGATACTGTAGACCATTACCAAGCATGGCAGTAGAGACTTTGCTGCTCCGAGATCTGTCATGAACTGTGGAGTGTAGTAGTGTACGGCATGTTGGCTCGATATTACATGAAAACACAGATAGACGGGTAAAGTCTTTTCCCACCCCCAGTAGTTTGAGGCTAGAATCCATGGAAGAGAGCTAAAGTAAAGGTCAGCCAGCAACAAAATCAACAGAGGTTGGGTAAAAAGTACCTGCTCATTGGTGACACTAGCAACGATGCCTTATAAGACTCGACGACCCAAAGCCCACTGATAGATACTGCCATCATACAAACGTATATCTGGAATACTGGAGAGAACTCGAGGACGCTGCTGCTCGAAGTTGGAAGAAACCTGTGAGCCGACAATGGAAAGCATGCAGCGAGTATCAAGAAGCTTATCCACGAGATTGTGGCCAGGGGCGACCGTGGATTTGGCTTCGCTTGCATATCTGGTGAAAATGGGCACATGCCTGCCTTGGGCGGCGGCAGATGCTCCATGCAGCGAGCTGGCGTGAAGGAGACAGCCAGC